TAACCCTGCAAGAATGGCTTATGAAGGAGCAGCCAGTGTGCAGCCCTAACCTTGCTTCTGCCAGAAGGGTTTTGGGAAAATGAGTTGATGCTTCAGAGCACAAACTGTAGACTCAGGCAGACTTTTGGAGTTAAGCAAATCATTTCCCCTCTGAGCCTGGGTCTCCCTATATATGGGACTGGTAAGAGTCCTCCCTGAGTTGTCATGAGGCTGTATCTCTGAGAGGGTTCCCCACACCAGGGTTGCCTGTTGTTGGGGGGATGTTGTAGAGAGTGGGAAAGGACCCCAGCATCATAGCTTCCCTAGGCCAGCCTGCCATTGTTGGGGGAAAGAACACGGGCTTTCTGGGGAGAATACTGTCCTAAGGCTCTGGAGGAAGCATAATGGTTTGAAGAAACCTTGTGTTCCAATTAAGGAGATACTGCGTCCCCTGTCATGTCATGCCCCCCACCCCCAACACATCTACAGCAAAATTCTCTAAGCCCCTTCAGGTCCCTCTCCAGCACTTCCTTCATCCTTGGCAAACAGACACTTGTGGCTTTCCTCCCTTTGGGTTGCACCTGGTTTGTGCCCAGATGTATTTGTCCTCTGAGAAAGAATCCAATCAGTTAACAAGTGGCAGAATAGTCTACCCTTCCCTGTGGTTCTGTCTCACTGCTCCTGGCACAGCTTCTAGCAGGGCTCTGGAGGCACCTGTCAGCGCACTTACCCCAGGGACAGAGAGCTGCATGCTTCCCATCCTAAGTTCATAACGTTCTCTTACTTTGTTTCTACTCTACTCCTGCTTCTGAGCTTTTCACAAAAGATGTTATCCTTCCCCAGGAATGTTCTCTGTTCTCCTCATTGAGCCTTTGACTGTATCCTTTGAGTTGAGGCTTTTCTCTTCCTTACTGGAACCCCTTCTCAGCTCTTGGTGCTACATATACAGCCAATATATAATTTTGAAGTATAAGCATCTGGTAATGTGTGTCTCTCCCTAAACTGGATGCTTCAGTGGGGCAAGTTTATATTCACCTGTATCCCAGGGTCTGGTGTTCAGCATAATTCCATAAGTAGTTACTGTTGCTCTTCTTACCCCTCTTCCTCACCTCCTGGACTGACAGAACACTTCTCCTAACCACTTCTGGCTCCAGCTATTTGGGGACCTATTCCTAGTGAACCTGGAGGCGATTATGATTCCAGAGTTTTGTACATTGTGTTGGCTGTGCTGGAGATACATGTACAAGGCTCTAGATTTAATTATAAGTACAGGAAAAGGTGAGGGCAGGCAGGAGTGTTCAAGTCAGATGGATGGGACTGGTCAGAGGGTAGGTTTGTGCTGAAGTAAACTCTGAGCAATACATCTTAAGGTAGAGACCCATGTTAACTGCTCGGTTAGGCGTCCCATACATCTTAGAGTGGCTTCCACCCTGGAGGCTAAACTTAGAGAAATCTAGCTGGACTTAGATTCTTTGACACTGCCATCTCATTTTAACCGAAGAACTTCTTCCTCGCTTGACTTAAGGTATTCAGTTTCTATAGCGCACAGTTGTGGATCTGTTTGTAGAGTTTTGAGACACGGGACATACCCTTAGGCATTTGGAGACACCCCCTACCTAAATAAGTTTACATCAGAAGGTGTTGTTCTTTGCCTTCTAATAGTCTGACTCACCCCAGTAAGGATGATGTCTTAGTTACAAGAGTCCTTTCAAATGTATTTATCTATTTTTTTTTTTTTTTTTTAATTTAAGATGTCATGGACAATATTACCAGGCAGAACCAATTCTATGAGACGCCGGTCATCAAGCAAGAAAACGAGTCAGGGTATGACAGGAGACCATTAGACATGGAGCCGCAGCAGCCGGCCTATCGCCCAGGTAGGAAGGCTCCGACACTCCTTCCTAATGGAAACAGTCCAAGGAAGACCTTGCATCTTTCTCTTGGACAGTTCTTTTGGCCTTTGTCCTTCTGGCAAGGTTTTATTTGGGTTGGGATTTTGGTTTTGTTCTGTTTGGGGTTGAGGGTTTTATTCTTGTTTGAGTTTATTTTTGAGATAACATCCTTACTAAGTTGTTCAAGCTAGCCTTAAATTGAAAAGGAGCTAGAACTGGCTTTGTTCTCCTAAGTCCTTCTGCCACCATTTCCCTCCCAGTTCTGTTTGGTGTTGAAGAAAATAACTCATGTCTGGCTTCCTGGTATCTTTTCAGAGTCTTGCAATGAGGGAGTCAGAAACAGCTTTCGGAATCTAGGTGGTGCTCCTTGTGTTCTGAAGAGCACCAAGCCTGGTGACTACTCTTTGGAAAGGGGTCCCTTAGCTAGGCACAACTGTATCAAAAAATGCAGCATAGCTGTCCCACCTTATGGAGATTTATTGTGTTCATTAAAGGCTCTGAGAAGTCCTAGAATGAAATAAACCTCATATTGTTTATTTAGACTCTGCATTTCTAAAACATGTACCTATATTGTTGCAGAATGGTGTTTTCCATAGTAAGCAGGGGAACAGGTAGGGTCCATCTAGCTTCACTCCCTTTTATGTGAAGAGGTGACTGGTCTGATGGCAAAACTGAGGCCAAAACCCAAGAAACTAGCTCAGACCAACATTCTTGGTACATCTTCCATGAAAGTCTGACTATTTAGAAAAAAAGTCTACTGATGAAATTGGCTGAACTAGAATTGTGGCCACGCCACTCCTGGTGTTGCAGTATTCAAAAAGAAAAGTTTGTTTTGAGGCAGGGTCGCACTGTAGAGCCCAGCTGGTCCGCACCTCAGGCTCCTCCTGTGTGAGTCTCCCAAAAGCCTAGATTACTGGTATGAATCACCGTCGCCAGCCCTAGGTGATCCTATCTATCTCATTCCATTCTGCTTCAGCCACAAAGTAAAATTCCCTGGTGGGTACTTGGGGGTGGGAGGGCTAGGGACATTAAAGAACGTAGGTCAAACTGTAGATTTGTGTCAGCCTCTCTCTTAGGGTTTCTATTGCTGTGAAGAGACCATGACCAAGGCAACTCTAGAAGGAAAACATTAATTGGGGCTGGCTTACGGTTCAGAGGTTTAGCTCGTTATCATCATGGTGGGACTTGGTGATATCCAAGGGGCCATGGTGCTGGGAAAGGAGCTGAGAGTTGTACATCTGGATCGGCAGGCAGCAGGAAAAGAACTGTGAGGCACCGAGCCTGGGCTTGAGCATCTGAGCCCTAAAACCTGTCCCCCAGTGACACACTTCCTCCAGCAAGGCCCAACCCTCTAATAGTGCCACTCATTATAGGTCAAGCAGTCAAGCACGTGACTCTATGGGGAGATTCTTATTCTGACCACCACAGGCTCTGTGAGACTTGTGGGGACATTTGGCCCAAGGACGTGATGTTTCTGTGCTGTTAACCACCAGTGGCTTCTGAGTCTGGCCTATGCTTAAGCCATGGAGGTATCCATTTAAAAAAAAAAAAAAAAAACTGAACCCAATCTCTGTAGTATAGAATCAGGAACATTAACTCAAAGATTGGGTCCATGTTCCAAAGCTAGGGAGTGACTTGAGCAGAGATCTGGGATGAACAGATAGGAGTGAATTGCACCAGCTGTAGGTAGAGATGGTGCCCTCTCAAAAAGTAAGGCCTCCTGAGTCCATAGCTTGCTCTTTGTTAGCCATCAGTTCATGGGGTCTGTCTGAGACTGGGTCTTTCTCAGTTCCCAGATGTTACCCCACCTTGATGTCTTATTTGGTGTGATTTAATGAGGCTGCAAGAAGAGCTGAATGGCTGGCCCCTCCACTCTGATTGGGCTTTGTAGAAGGTGACTGAAGCCAGTAGTTTGCTGTAGACCCATAGTACTCTGCTGAGTTTCCTTCTCCCCTGTCTTTGTCAGGAAGAAGCTCAGTAAGAATGAGGCACACAAGTTGGGGGGAAGGGCACAGTTTAACTCTTGCTTCCTAGAGCTTGCAGGATCTTTGCAGTCTCTTAGGGCTCACTCCCTCTTCGTGTAGGCCAAGGTAGTAGCTTTTGAGTCAGCATTCATGAACCTTCAGATCATTAGCCAAAAGCTGTTTTTCTACCTTTGGGTTGTTTGAGGGATCTTGTCCTTTTTAGTGTTGAAGGCCCGTCTTAAGGCCTGAGTGTTACCTGATGTAGACTGCCACCCATCCAGCCTTCCATCATCCTGGCCTCCTTGGCTCACTCAGTAGGTCTCTGGAGCTCAGCCCTTCATTGTAGTCACAAGCCTGCCAGCATCATCTGGAGTAAAAGGGACTGGAGACGTAGTAACCCCAGGGTTTTCCAAGTGTCTCGACCATCCTGATTTGTCCTGACAGTAGAACTGAAGACAGAAATGAAGCAGGAAGCACCACCCAGCTTCCTCCCTCCTGAAGCCTCACAGCTCAAGCCAGATAGACAACAATTCCAGAGTCGAAAAAGGCCATTTGAAGAGAATCGGGGCCGTGGGTACTTCGAGCACCGGGAGGACCGAAGGTGGGTACATGAGACAGCGGTCACTCTTGTTATCATTGGTCTCCACTCACTGAGTGGGGATGAGCAGAGTTCTCTCTTCCCTGGTCTTCCTTCCTCACTGGCTGCCAGATTGAACTCGTAGGCTTTGATCCTTCCTCCTGTTCCTCCCTGCTTATTACCTGCAGAGCAATTCCAGACACCTTAGACTCTTACCCTTAAGACGCCAGGCTGCTCTTCAACCCTTCCCCTCGCTGCCTCTGCTGCTATGCAGTGCCCTTTTTTCTTTGCCTCTTTCCTTTTGTTTGTTTGTTTTTGGTGTTGTTTTGTTTGCTTTTTGTGTTTAAGATAGGGTCTTACTATGTCAATTCTGATTGGCCTGAAACTTACTGTCAACCAGCAAGCCTCAAACTCACAAAGATTCTCTTGCCTCGGCCTTCACTCATGACTAGTGTACGATTCTTATTGGCCACTCTATATCCCTTAATTTGTAAGCTATGTTCTGACCTTACTCCCCAGCACAGCCCCTTCTACCCACCCCTCATCCAGTCAGCATTCATGAATTACTGAGGATATAGAAACGCTTTTGACAGTGGGCTTACCTTCTACTTTCCCAAGGGCTGAAGGTGGACTTTTAAAAGTAAACCCCAAACTCAGGATGAGCAGTCAAAGATGTGAGTTTTGGGAGCTCACAAGAAGGTGTGGCCTTTTCTCTGGTCATTTCCCTCCAGGTCCTGTCCTACCCTTCTCAACTTTTCTCCTTCTGACTCCTATTGAAACCTTTTCCAGTCATGGAGTCTAGGAATAACTGCTTGTCTAGTTTAGTCACATTTTATTTCCTGTCTGGCGAAGCCCACCTCTGACTAGCCCATTACTCTATTTAAGAAAGGTGTGTGTGTAGGGGGTGACTCAGTAGTAGAGCTCTTGTCTAGCACATTAGGCTCTGGGTTCCACCCCCATCATGGCAAAAGAAAAGAAACAGCATGGATCTCCTGGATGGTAACTGAAATCCCTACATCATAGGGATTTCTTCTTCCTCCCACAAAGCAAAGGCCAGGAGCTGCTTGCTGATGAAGAGCAGAGGAGGGACATTAGCTCTCATTTGGAGCTAATGTGGAAAGCTCGCTAAGATAGACTTGAGAGACCATGGCATAGTGGTGCAATAACTGTAATCCCAGCACTCGGGAGTCAGAGGCGGGTGGATCTCTGAGTTCATGGCCAGCCAGGGCTATGTTGAGAGAGCCTGTATTTAAATGAAGAGATAGTACAGATACTAACCTGGGCAGGCAGGGCTGGAAGGTGCTTCCCTACAAGGGCCCGTGCTGTGAAGAGTGTTGGCAACATCCCAGCAGATTGCTGGGTGTTGGGCTCAGCCTTCTGCCTGTTATTCCTGGACAGCAGAAATCACCAATGTGTTAACAGTTATAGAAAGATACCTTGTTCATAATTAAGGACACTTTAAAGAGAGCGAGAGGCAGAAAAAAGTGGGTCATATCTATCCTTTCAGATGCAGGGTTTGGAGAAGCCTGATATATGCGTTCATGGCAGGTCCTGCAGTTTTGTCCAGGCCCTTGCCTTTCGTTGCTTTAACTGTCCCAACTTGAGTACTGTGGCCTCCGCTGAGGGTGGCAGTTCACAGTGTGCAGAGTGTGGGTGTAAGAGAAAGATTTGAAAGGCTCCTGAGTGATTCTGATGCCCTTCTTTACAGAGCAGTCCATTTGTCTTTATGCTGGGAGTTAATACTCAGCAAGTGCTTGGTAGCCCCTGGGAGAAATGGTGATCCAGAAAGCAGTTGTGAGCCCCTTGTAAATCTCAGCAACCATTTTAGTCACATCCCTCCAACTATTACATGACTTTCCCCTCTTCCCAACACAGGGGCCGTTCTCCTCAGCCTCCTGCTGAAGAGGATGAAGATGACTTTGATGACACCCTTGTTGCCATTGACACCTGTGAGTCCAGAAAGCGCCCGTCTGAGTCTACCTTCTTCCAATCTGTGTTTAGCACCGTCCAGAGCCGTTGACCCATCCCTGAGTCCAGCACAGCTCCAGAGCCAGGGCACTCGGGTGGAGTCAGGCCTACTCCTAAGTGTAGCTGTCGAGTCCTAGGCAAGCAGCTCTGCTTCTCCTGCTTCTGTACAAAGAGGAGAAATGGTGCCTTCCTCCTCTGGATGCCCAGTGAGAGTCCCAATCTAAGGTCCCAAAAAGAACGTGTAAGCCCCGTACCACCGTGTGTGCACAAGGGGTTGTCTCTATCCGGGGAATCTGAGTGCTGCTAGGGAAACTTAATTCTTTGACAACTGCCTTGCCAGTTTCCATCAGCTGCTCACGTTCCTAATGAAACCAATGCCACTTTGTCCTTTGAGATACTGGCCTGTTCTCTGTCCTCCACTGTATAAGTAGTTTTCACCTTGACTATACTTCTGACCACCAAGAAGTGATTCAGAGGGCCTGGGCCACTGAAGTCAGTCCAAGTGGTAGAGCCACTGAGTCTGTTTTATTATACCCAGAAGCCTACTCGGCTCTAAGAACGGTGTACTTTATCAACACAGCAGGTGCTTCTTCCATAGCTTGTGCTTATAGAGCGCTGGCTTTGTGTTTTAGTGATTATAAAGACGTAGACGTTCTCTTCTCACAAGCTGTCAAAGACAGCTAACCATTTTTGAAGGTGTTGGGTTGCAGTGGTCCACGAGGCCGCATATGATTAAATGTTGGTGTAACCACAGAAGTGCTTAGCCTGCCATGAAATGAGAGCACCTTGTGGGAAAAGCTTCTCTGAAGACGGTGGGACTGGCTTTACAGGGCCAGCACTATGCATGGGATGGAAGGCACACCCAGATGGCAGGTGTGGTTCCGGTCAGATACTCTTACCACAGCTGCCAAGAGAAGTGTGCTCTGAAACAGTGAGCATTGGGAGTTGGCTAACCTGTGTGGTGATGGGGGAACCCTCAATGTCCAGAAATGTGTTTGAATTTGGAAGGTTGTGACCCTCTCCTTAGGTTGTGGCACATTCCTCTGGAAGGTATTTACTAGAGTTTCTGAGGAACTTCCTGAAGCCTATCCTTGAGCCCCACTAGGTGATCCCCAAACATCAGCCATTTTCTGGGGTTTTCCTCCACAGATAACTGCGACCTGCACTTCAAAGTGGCCCGGGACCGGAGTAGTGGCTATCCGCTGACGATCGAGGGCTTTGCATACCTGTGGTCAGGAGCCCGAGCCAGCTATGGAGTCAGAAGGGGGCGTGTGTGTTTTGAAATGAAGGTGAGTAGGAAAGATAGACTAGACGGAAAGCAGGTCTATTCTTTGGAGTAGCCTGTCACCAGCCACCTTGATCAGAGCCGTGACTATAAGATACTAGATTAGCTTGAACAGTGTCCAAGCAAACAAAATAAAGCATCAGCATTATCACAGACTCACTGTCTCAAAAAAGTTGGACAACCATGTTCTTTTCTTTTCTACAGTGTAATGGTGATGTTTGTAAAGTGGGCAAAGGGGTCGTCTCAAAGAAAGAATGCACTCCAGGGCCAGGGAGATGGCTCAGCAGGCAAGAGGTTTGCAGCCACAGCTGACAGCCTGCAGTCAAGTCTTCTCACCCGGATGATGGGAGAGGGTCAATGCCCGGGAGCTGTCCTCTTGACCACAGTGTGCATGCATACATCACATACATAAGTCTAGTTTACAAAAGGAGAGTGGACTCAGATACCACTACTTTAAAGGGAAAGCTACACGGAGAGCAGGTCAGAGAGCTGCCTGCACTGGTCATTACCAAAGTTCCGTGTCAAGTTTATGACAATAGTGTGTGTTTGTGTGGAACAGGAGTTCAGCTTGCAGATTGTAGAATTAAAAGGCAAACATTACTTAATTAACATATCCTTTCTGTGTGCCTCCCCCGAGGTCACGTATATGTTAGCAGTCTTTTGGGCGGGGAATGTAACACTGTGCATGCTCACAGAAAGTGGCTTCCACCCCCAGCATTGGAAAAGCAATTCTCGTGTATTCTTTGTGTGTCCAAACTTATTTATGATAGTATCTGTAGAGCCCTTCACACACAGTGGCAGCACGGAGCTCTTCGTGTGGACTATCTGTCTCCATTAATCTTTACAGTGCTGCCATGAATAAGTGCTCTCACACCCCAATCTAGAAGTGCAGCCAAGACAGGTTTATTTTACTGACTGGCACACCATTGACTGAAGAAACAGTATTTAGTGTTCCAGTTAAAGAAATACTGTCAAACCACACAGCTTTCTTCTGTGGATTGAAAGATGAACTGTTCTTTCACAGGTAAAGACATAGGAAAAAATGTCTGAAAGTCAGTGGAATGTGGTATCTACCTAAGGCTACAAACCAGTTCTGGTAGATAGGGATACCAGGTAGCCATCATGATGCAGTTAGGTAGCACAGAGTGCAGAATTAAAAGTGGACATTCTCCTGTGCTTTCCACCCTATCCATTCCCTTGAAAGGGAGCTGAGAGGGAACGAAGGGCTATGTGGATGTTAAGTGTGATTTTGTTTCCCTGTTTCTGTTGCTTGCTATTGTGTCTTGGACGTTTTTCTATACTCTTACCTTAGTTCTGCCTCATCTTTTTAATTGGCTCTGTGGCTTAACTGTACCATAATGTACCTGGTTTCTTATTGATGTTTTTCTTCCTGGCTTTTTAAGAACAGTGTTCTTGGTATTCTTGCAAACCCACACCTACATCCTTGGGCATCGGGCACCTAGAATCTGTCGATGATCTAGAGCACATGGGTACAAAGCGTGTGCACTTACTGTCTTGTTTTTATGATGCTGGGGATCCAGTGCACAGCATTATGAAAGTATTTCCCCTGCAGCGAGTGTTAAGACTGAAAAGGAGAGGCGGGATGTTTGGAAGCACTCTCTGTGGCACCTTAGAGTCCCTGCCATCACAACAGGCTCTTGAGAGATGCTTGAGTTCTTCTTCCAGCAGCCAAGTCTTTTTTTTACTTCTCTGTTTTTGTCTCTATCTATCTAATCTATCATCCACCTATCTACCATCGGTCTATCTATTCGGCAGGATCTCACTGGCCCAGGCTGGCTTCACCCTCACTGTGTAACTCAAGCTGGCCTCAAATTTGTGGCAGTCCTCCTGCCTCTGCCGCCTGAGTGCTGAGATTACAGGCATGAACCACCAAGAAGCACCATCACTGTTTATTGCCTGATACACTTACTGCCATGTTGCCTTATAATCCAGCAGCTTTGAGAGAATCAATCCTGAGCCTTCTTATGTTCTGTCCTCAGATCAATGAGGAAATCTCCGTGAAGCACCTTCCATCTACAGAGCCCGACCCCCACGTTGTCCGTATTGGCTGGTCCTTGGACTCTTGCAGCACTCAGCTAGGTAAGAAGGTCAGCCAGGCAGTCCTCAGTAAAAGTGATCGCCCTGCCCCTGGATTCTCGAGGCTCCTAAGCTGCTCTTCCTAATGTCAGACTCAGAACACCGACCCTGGGGTGGAGGCAGGTGCAGCAAATGGTTGTGTGTCACTGTCTGTCGTGAGGACCTGTCACAGCAACTCTTTCAGAGTTAATTCTTGCACTTTGTCTTTTAGGAGAGGTTCCAAAGTTCCCTTCAGAGACCTGTTCCCTTTATCTTAAACCGTTTCTGCCCTCATACCGTACTGAAATAAATTCTTAAGTCCTGTTAAGATTCTTTATGGATTTTCTGTCCAGAATAGAGCCTAGAGTAAGAGCAGAAGCAGCAGGCTGATTGGCAGAGAAGCAGGGGCTGCCTGCTGAGAGGTCAGTTTTCATAAGGTGCTGGACCCAGTCACCATTACAGTCTTCTGGACATTCCCTTTGGTTTTTATGTGTGCTCAAACTGGGTCATGCTGTGAACATTATGTAGTCTGGTCTCGTAGTATATAATGGGCTGAATTTTGTAAAAAAGTATGGTTTATTAGCCAATGCATAATTTTCTATTTTATAGCTGTTGCTGTTTTTTTGTTTTGTAGTGGGTTCTGGGAGTCAAGCCTAAGGCCTCACAAGAACTCTCCCACTGAGCTACAGCCTGACCCTATTGTATTTATTTAACAAGTTTCCTTTTGTAGCTCATTTAAATTAATTGCACCTTTTTACTTGAATTCCTATTCTTGTAATTACTTGACAACTTAAGAAAAATCCTTATAAGTAGGTATGTTAGGTTAATTCTCAGTACCACACACAGAAAAATACATCAGGTAAAAGGCCTGTAAGGCCTGGTGGGATGGCTCAGCCAGTAACAGCACTTGGTACATAAGCCTGAGGACCTTGTCCAGGCCTTGGAACCTGTGTAAAAAATGGAAAAAGAGAACTGAGCCTGCAAGGTTGTTGTCATCTGATCTCTCTGTACATGCCCAGCCACACATGATGATAATAATAACTGCTATTTATTATTCGTATATGTAGCAGCATTCATTATTTACAATTCATAAATCGAGGGGCTGGAGAGATGGCTTAGCAGTTAAGAGCACTGACTACTCTACCAGAGGACCCAGGTTCAGTTCTCGGCACCCACATGGCAATTCATACT